TAAGGCCCCTCCCCCTGGGGCCTCTATCCAGAGGATTCTTTATAGGGTGGGGCGGGGGCAGACTTAGCTGAAATGCCGCTCAGGTGCCTCTGAGGAGATGATCTCATCAGGGGGACTTAAAGACACTTTTATCGACCCTGACTCAGCACTTAGTACTTTCCTATTCCTAACCCATACCTCTCTCTCTTCCTGTGGTCCCTCGATCCATAAAATGGCAGAGTCTTTTTTCAAGACTTCCTTGGCAATGAAATATCCCCCCATTTTCACTGATACATCTGGCCCTTACTTGGTGCCATTCCATAGAGAAAAATGGAACACCGAAAGAGCTGGCACCCATTCTGATTGGCCTCTTCTTACGCTATCATGTTAAGTGCATAAAGTCTTGACTGTTACTTTCAGTTTGGCTTCTTGTGTTATGACCACCTTGACCCCTGGCAGTAGTCTCTGTCTCTCTGTCTCTCTGTCTCTCTGTCTCTCTCTGTGTGTGTCTCTCTCTCTGACACACAGACACACACACACATACACATGGTCTTCTTGCAATACCTCCAGCTTTCAGTGTACTACCCTGAATTTGTTGATACCTATATGAGTTTGCTAAGGTTGCCATAAAAAAAAAATCACAAAGTGGGTGGCTTAAATAACAGAAATTTATTTTCTCACAGTTCCAGAGGATAGAATTCCAAGATCAAGGTGTTGGTGGGTTTAGATTCTCCTGAGGCCTCTCTCCTTGGCTTGCGTGTGGCCACCTTCTTGCTGTGTCGTCACATGGCCTTTTTTCTGTGCAAGGCACATCTCTGGTGTTTTCCTCTGTGTGTCCTAATGTCCTCTTCTTATGAGAACACCAGTCCGATTGGACTAGAACCCACCTCAACATCCTCATTTAACTTAATTACGTCTTTAAAGCCTCCATCTCTAAATACAGTCAACATTCACAGCTATTTGGGGGTTAAGGCTTCAACATCTGAATTTGGGGGGAACACGATTGAGTCCATAACAGTGTGGGCAAAAGTTGATGGATGGGTACTCAGTAGATTTGTCACTAGGGCTCCTTGGGATTCTATTCCATCCCAGTTACCGACATGTTGCCATCAGGAATTTGCGAAAGATTTGGCTAACTTCACTTTATTCACATATATTGTAGACTCCTACTCTGACCAGTTCACATGAGATAAAAACAGCCATGGATCTCTTCTTTCGTAAAATGGATTTGTCACTTCCTAGAATTCAGTTCATTTTAGTTTCTTTGCATCCTAAGCTCTCTATTGATTAAAAAACTGTTATTTTTTGTTTATCTAGATTGTTCTCATGGTTAGGGTAGGAGTGATACTCTCTTGCAACGTTTTACACTCTAATTGGAGATGAATGTCCCTGTGGCATTTTTTTTTATGAGACAAGGTCTTGCTGTGTCACGTGGTACAATCATAGCTCACTGCAACCTTGAACTCCTGGGCCGAAGGCATCCTCCTGCCCCAGCCTCCTAAGTCTAGGACTACAGGCACACACCACCACACCTGGCTAACTCTAGTAATTTTTAAAAGCAATGCTCTACCTACCCATCCTTAGTGGAGTACTCTTTAGGGACTTCAAAGAAACCATGTACAATACTTTAATTGAGGTTTGGGGTTGGTAATTTTATTGTGGAGCAATTGTGAAACTCCTTTGAGTTCATTGTAAGACAGAACAAATAAGTAAAATGCTGATACTGTAGTAATCAGTGTTTTCATTGTGAGAGAATGGAAATAAAATATGTCATGGGGAAAGGAAGAAAGAACTGTGTATTATGGTAATGGTTTGGAATCAGAGGTCTCTGTGTGATGTTTTTATTGCTGAGAGGCAATGATACTGCAGTATCAGTGAGCACAATTGTCACCCAGATCTCGGTTTCTAAATATCATCATCCACTAGAATGAAAGAGGAATTTTGAGAAATGGCTAATTCCAGGTCTGAATGTGGAAAGAATAAAAAGGTCCTGGAATGTTCAGCGGTGCTATAAAGCAATGAGGTGCCCAAAGGCTGATGTAGACGTACACGTGTCAATAGCACCCGGGTACTGACTTGGAGGAGCTCACGCTGGCCAGAGTTGTTTGTCATCTATCACAAACTACAACAGAGGATGGATCTCTGTCAACTACCAACCAAGTTCATCACAAGGAGTTTATTTCACTACACCAAAACCAAAACCTTCCACACTGATGTCACTGATGGGAGGAAATTATTGACCATGTATAAAGGAGATAGGTAGAAAGATAGATGACAGAAAGAGAGATAAAGTCCAAGAACCAGGTTTAATCTATAAAAGCCAGAGACCTCATTTTTCACTCGTGAGATTCAACAAAAGAACCAAGGGAACGTGGGCCGATTACTCTAAGAATGTAGGTCTGCAAGAGACAATCTAATGAGCCTCTCTGGTTTTCTTAGCCTTGGGAAGTTGGCCAGTCGTCCTGCAAAGAGAACCCTGAAGACAGAGGGATTGAGAGTTTGTGAGTACTCATTTGATAAGAAAGCCCCAAAACACTTCATGCATTTGTCTCTGTGGAGCAATTGGTTAGCATGTTCGGCTGTTAACCGAAAGGTTGGTGGTTTGAGCCCACCCAGGGACGTGGTGTTCATTTTAAAATGTTGGCAGTCTTTCCGCTTCTGCAGAACTGCGCAGAGAGCGAGAGAGCTCTATCTTGTGCATGGCAAGAGAACCCAAAGGAAGGGTTTCTCAGGTATAATCTTCCTAGAAGATGAGATCCCTTGAGAACAAACTAGGTGTATGCGTGGGAACCTGCAAGAGTAGGAAAAAGCGATAGCATCCTCTACCTTACTTCTGACAAAGGATTTCCATCTGTGGTTTTTACTAGTATTTATTTACATCTTCCCATATACTTTTGACATTAATTTGATCCTATGCTTTTATTATTACAAACAATGCTGCACACAGCATTCTCGTACACGTATCTTTGGTCGTTTGTGCAGTTATTTCTATAGGGTAGAGTTCTGGAAAAGCGATAGCTCAGTTATACTACTTACATGGTTTCTATATCGTATCATTTACTCTTCTTTTTGGCTTATTAGCTATCATGCTTTCTTTTGTTACTTAGTGATTGCTTTAGGGTTTTATTATTATTACTATTATTTCAAAATACTTAGGGGGTACAAATGCTTTTGTCACATGGCTTGAGTCAGAGCTATAAACATGCCCATCACCTGAATAGTGTTCATTGTACCCATTAGGTGGGTTTTTGCCCCTCCCCTTGTCCCCCTCCTGCCTGCTTGATTTCCAATGACTTTTACTTCCCTCTATGCACTTGTGTGCCCATTGGTTAGTTCCAATTTATTAGAGAGTGTTTGTTTTCCCATTCTTGAGATACTTCACTTAGTATAATGATTTCCAAGTCCTTCCAAATTCCTGCAAAAGGCATTAATTCATCCTTTTTTATGGCTGAGTAGTACTTCATGGCATACATATACCACATTTTGTTAATCGGCTCATGAATTGATGGGCACTTGGGTTGATTCCAGATCTTTGCAATTGTGAATTTTGCTGCTATAAACATTAGAGTGCAGATGTCTTTTTAATAAAATGATTTCTTCTCCTTTGGGAGATGCCCAGTAGTAGGATTGCTGAACTGAATGGTAGGTCTACTTTGAGTTCCTTGAGAAATCTCCATAGTGTTTTCCATAGGGGTTGTACTAATCTGCAGTACCAACAACAGTGTATAAGCGTTACTTTCTCTCTGCATCAGCGCCAGCATCTATTGCTTTTGGACTTTCTAATAAAAGCCATTCTAACAGGAGTAAGATGATATCTTGTGGTTTTAATTTGCATTTCCCCGATGATTGGTGATGTTGAGCATTTTTTCAGAAGTTTGTTAGCCATTTGTCTATCTTCTTTTGAAAAACTTCTGTTCATGTCTTTTGCCCACTTTTTAATGGGGTTGTTGTTGTTGTTTCTTGCCAATTTGTTTGAATTCTTTGCAGATTCTGGATGTTAGCCCTTTATTGAAAGTGCAGATTGTGAATATTTTCTCCCATTCTGTAGGCTGTCTGTTATGTTGATTATTTCCTTAGCTGTGCAGAAGCCTTGTGATTTAATCAAGTCCCATTTATTTATTTTTGTTGTTGCTGTAATTGCCATTGGGGTCTTAGTCATAAATAAATTCCTTGCCTAGACTAATATCTACAGGACTTTTTGCTACATTTTTGTCTAGAATTTTTTTAATGCTTCTTAAAATAGATTTTTTTATTTCCTTTAATGTCAATTTTTCTCTTTAATGTGTGAATTCTATCAAACAGCGCATGGGAGAGAGAAGGGAGTAAAAAAAAACCTGAATTCTATCAAACATAACCATTTAGGGTTTTTTTCACTATATCATTGATCACTTCTACTTATATAGACAAATAAGTTTATAGACATTATTTTGAATGTACTGTGACTACTTTTATTAGCACAATTTTATTTGAGAGTTAGGTTATCTGTATTGTTGATGTTGGTATTTTCAGGAATATACAGTGTCGTTTATCAGTCAAGCTTCTGACACAAAAGTCTTACTTTGAGTCCTGTTCCCACTTCACTAGCAGGTGACCTTGGGCAAGCCAACCTATCAGAACCCTGGGTCCATGTCCATAAAGTGAAGACACTGTAACCTGTCCTACCTACCTCACAGGGTGCCTGTACAGGGTGCCTGTATAGGTCAACTAGGACACAAGGTCAATATACATAAAAGTTTTTTGACAACTATAAAGTACTACAAAATGCCAATTACAGATAAGTCAGTGAAGTTCAACCACCAAAATAATAGTCATGCCTATAACCAAAAGCTTTTAAATGAAACAGTTTAATAAGAAGTGATCAGTTAAGCAGATTAAGACTATATTAAGCACACTATGGTCCTAGCCTACTCTATTGAATCTAATCTTTGGAAAGACAATTCATTTTAAGAGAAAAAAAATCTGAGTTAAGATATTTGTTAGTGTTTATACAAACAAGCTGCAACTACTAATTCAAAAATAGCAGGGTTTTTTCCCCAACAAGAGCGCATTCTTTAATAGGACTATATTTGAATAAGAATTCCATACAAATAGAATATATACCTTAACACAAGAAAGCAAGGAAGGAATATTTTATATTGCACAGAACATTCAGGTGATTCAATTGAGTTACCCCTCCAACCAAATGCTTATTTTTCATATTTATTACAAACATTGCACTCAGTTCAGTATATGCCAACAATCATATAGTTTTAACATTTAGTAGTGTAAAGAACACCTGACTGTTTCCAAAGTGATAGGTGACGTATCCTTAGTTTCAGAGGAGCTGAAGGGACTGAATTACTGTCTGCTTTTTAATGTTTCAACCAACCATTCCATTGCCTCATCAAGGCCAGTGCCTTTGGTTGCTGACGTTTTGAATATTTGCCATTTTCGGTCCTTCAAGGCAGGTAACCCAAGTGAAGTTGCCATCTTGGAGGGGGTCATGGCCTGTTCCATGTCCTGCTTATTTGCAAACACCACTAAAATGGCTTTTCTCAGCTCTTCTTCCTCCAACATGGCAACTAACTCTGATTTGGAAATGCCAATTTGGTCTCGGTCACAACTGTCTACTACATAAATAACTGCGTCTGTGTTTGAGTAATAACATCTCCAGTATGGCCTGATACTTGTCTGTCCTCCTAAGTCCCACACTTGGAATTTAAGGTTTTTGTATGTCACCGTCTCTACATTAAATCCGATGGTAGGAATAGTAGTAACGACTTCTCCAACCTGTAATCTATACAAAATTGTGGTTTTTCCTGCTCCATCTAATCCCAGAATTAAAATCCTCATTTCCCGAGTTCCAAACAGACTGGAAAAAAATACTTGAGAAAAAGCCACGCATGATGAACCGCCTGTCCGCCCTCGCCAATCCTCAGAGACAGGGCCCGGCCTCAGCAGCTATTCCTGTTCAAGCGCCTGCGCCGCCACCTCCGTTCGCCTTGGCCTCCGGCTGCGGTTCCCAGGTTGCTTCCTCGCAAGCCTGGTCTGCCAGCAACTTCCACGTCGGACTCTGGCGGGGGCGCCTAGAATTTTTTTTTTAAATGTATTTTTTGCACTCCAGGTGAGGACCAAATCTTCTACAATTCTTATGGTTTCATGCCTTACATTTAAGTCTTTTATTCATCTTGAATTAAGTTTTGTGAGTGGTGAGAGATAGGGGTCCTGTCTCATTCTTCTGCATGTGGCTATCCGATTTTCCCAGCATCATTTATTGAACAGGGCTTCTTTTCTCCAGCGTACGTTGTTGTGTGCTTTGTTGAAGATCAGTTGGCTGTAGGTAGATGGTTTTATCTCTGGGTTTTCTATTCTGTTCTATTGATCTATGTCTCTATTTTTGTACCAATACTGTGCTGTTTTGGTTACTATAGCCTTGTACTATAGTTGGAAGTCTGGTAATGTGATGCCTCCAGCTTTGTTCTTTTTGCTTAGGATTGCTTTGGCTATCCGAGCACTTTCCTGGTTCCAAACAAGGTGTAGAATTATTTTTCTAGATCTATGAAATATTCCGTTGGTATTTTGATGGGGATTGCATTGAATCTGTAACTAACTTTTGGATACTACAGACATTTTAACAACATCCATTGTACCAATCCCTGAGCATGATATGTTTCTCCAATTGTTTGTGTCATCTGCAATTTCTTTCTTCAGCGTTTTGTAGATCTCCTTGTAGAGATCTTTGACTTCCTTGGTTAAGTGTATTCCTAGGCATTTTATTTTCTTTGTAGTTGTTGGGAAAGGTATTGCGTCTTTGATTTGACTCTCAGCTTGGCTGTTATTGGTATATAGAAATGCTACTGATTTGTGCACATTGATTTTATAACCTGAGACTTTGCTGAATGTATTTATCAATTCCAGGAATCTCTTGGTGGAGCCTCTGTGGTTTTCCAGATACTAGATCATATCGTCAGCAAAAAAGAGATAGTTTGACCTCCTCTTTCCCGATTTCGATATGCTTTATTTCTTTCTCTTGCCTGATTGCTCTGGCTAGGACTTCCAGCACTATCTTGAGTAGAAGTGATGACAGTGGACACCCTTGCCTTGTTCCAGTTCTTAGGGGAAATGCTGCCAACTCTTCCCCGTTCAGTATGAGTGTTGCCTGTGGGTTTGTCATGTATGGCTTTTATAATTTTGAGATGTGTTTCTTCTATGCCTAGTTTGTTGAGGGTTTTTGTCATGAAAGGGTGCTGGATTTTGTCAAATGCTTTTTCTGCATCTATTGAGATGATCATGTAGTCTTTGTTATTGCTTCTGTTTATGTAGCAAATCACATTTATTGATTTACTTATGTTGAAGTATCCTTGCATCCCCGGGATGAAGCCCACTTGGTCATGGTGGATTATTATTTTTTTCTTTTTGATGTGTTGTTGAATTCTGGTTTGCTGGTATTTTATTGAGGATTTTTGCATCTGTATTCATAAGGGATGTTGGTCTGTAGTTTTGTTGTTGTTTTGTTGTGTCCTTTCCTGGCTTTGGTATCAAGGTAATGTTGGCTTGATAGAATGAGTTGGAGAGGATTCCCTCCTTCTCAATGTAATGGAATAATTTCTGCAGTATGGGTACCAGTCTTACTTTGTAGAACTGGTAGAATTCAGCTCTGACTCCATCTGGTCTGGGCCTTTGTTGTTGTTGTTGTTGCTACTGTTGCTGTTGTATGACTTTTTATTACTGATTCAATCTCACTACTCCTTATTGATCTGTTCAGGAGTTCTGCTTCTTCTTGATTGAGTCTTGGAAGGTTGTGTGTTTCCAGGAATTTGTCCAGTGAAACCCCACAACCATCTTTATTACTTCTGTTTAAACGCAAGCTTTGGGCCAGGGCTTTTTGACAGTAACCATATTCACTGTGTAAAAGAGAAAGAGCTCACATCTGCCTGTGCATGAGGTTCAGTGAGAGTACCAAGGAAGCGCCCTCAAGATCCCAGGAGGAGGGCGACAAAGGATCTCTGGCAAAGTTATGCAAGTCTGCTTTGAACCCAAATGCCCACCAGCACAAAGACCCCAGACGAGTTTCCCCGCATGTGGGGAGATCACAGATCCGGAGTGCAGTGGACTAGCCTTTCCTAGGGAATACCACCTTCATGTCTACGGTCCCCCTCTCTCCCTCCTGCCCCTCACCCTCGTCCCTGCCAGCAGTGCACGACCTCCTGGCACAGCACAGCCTCCTCTCCCCCTCCGTATACTCAGGGTAGCCACTCTTCCAAACGGCTCTCTGCAAAAGAATCGCATCAACGGTCCCCCACATGACAACCCACCGTCTGCCTAACCAGACCGCCTTTCAGCAGGGGCTCCAGACCAGCAGCCACCAAGCCACCTCATCTACCTATTTCTTCCCGCTGCCTGTCGAGTCAGTCCGGTTCGCCTCCCTGACTCTCGCTCTCCTCTCGACTGACAGTGGACGCAGGAATCATCCAAACACCTCTTGGGAGCATTGAATGGAGAAGGGAAACTGCGAACGCGCTGGGTAGAGCGTAGACATCGTGGGGATTGACGGTGCTACCATCGTTTCGAGGTTCCGGTGTTGCTTTTCACACCGACCTTCCGCTTCCGGGCCGGGGACTAGTTTTCCATTTGTGCATACGTCACGTGCTGCCTTTGTTGGGTCAGTTAACTGTCACCTCCCTCCTGCTGCTCAGTGTTCAAGGGGCACAGCCCTCAAGGACCTTACCCGCCGTGCACCCCGCTCCCACCTTCGCGGGTATGGCCTCCCGTCACCTCTGCCGAAGGCCCTGACAAGCACTTCGCCGGTGAAAGGAGCTGAGGAGGCTCAGCTGACCGGCCCGTTTCCAGGGTGCGCGCAAACGCCTCGGCTTGGCTTGGCCTGGCCTCGCTCAGGCAGCGGCAAGAAGCGGGGGGTTCTCGGGTGCAGCTCCACGTGGACTCGCGTCCCTGCGCGGTTGTGTCAGCCTGCGCGAGACGCTCAGTGGCTCTGGAAAGTCACTTGTGCGGGTGATGACCGACGGGGAGCTCAGCAAGTCCTGGGTGCCCTGAGAAACAGCCCCCCATTCCTTGCCGTTCTTTGGCCAGAGCTTGGCACTCGGTGCGGTGGCTCCTCTGCATGTGGTCCTTGGAGGGTGCCAGATGGGGCAAAA